GGCCAGGAAATGTGAAGTGATATTTCTGTCAATTAACACCCCGCGCACACATTTCAGCACTTAATTTGATTGCAGTCGGATTCCTGTTTGCATCCTGGCTGTGTGAGTGTGTGCCCTGCGTCATGTGTGTCTCTCTGTAGGTGCTGGGCTCTGGCTTTGTACGGGGGAAACAGTGAAACCGGCTTTGACCAAAACACCACCTACTCCATCTTTTCAGTCTCCATCACTCTCACGAATGAAGGCTTCCAAAACTTCTATGAGGTAAGGAAAACTGCCTGTTGCCGCACTTTTTTTTTTTTTTTTATTAATGAGGATTATAAGGATATAAAACATTGATCTTCAGTTATTTGCTTTTGTTGCCTGATCATCAGGTTTGTTTCTATGACACCCATATTTAGATGTTCATATGTAAACCAATGAGAGGCTGGGAACACGGCCCTGCAGGCTTGTTTCCAAAGGTATTCTTGAGGAAGCTGTGTGCGTTGTCAGTTGCCATGACAACTAACTTGTTAACCTCAGTCACAGTGGAGGATTGTTAAGCGAGATGGCTATTTGCCTCCCTTTCCTACTTAATTGAAAAATGTATCAGGCTGCAAACTTGCAACAATAGCTGCTGTGGAAAAGATAAAATAACCTTGGAAACATTTACTTTCTTTGAATGAGTCATGTTCTGGATTTTGTGCAGAAGAACTTGGTCTTGCGCGATCAAGGCGACTCCTGCACATGGTGCGGCCTCACTGAGGCTCTTTTCTTATTTACAGCTCCTAAACTTTCCAGATTTTGTATCATTGCAACCACAAACTGTATGTATTTTATCAAAATTTTATGTGACAGACCAACAGAAAGTAGGAAACAGTGATCAGATGGAAGTGGGAGTATTCTCTGCGTTTCTGTTTTGCTCCGTCATTCTGAATCCTGTGAATAAAATCCAGTTCAGTCGGAGCATTAACTCAGCTGGAGGTTTGATAGAGAACAAAAGTAAACAAACAAATGTGTCCGACAGTTGCAGATCAGTTCTTTTAAAAACACAATACCACAAACCTTGGACATCTCACAGAGCTCTGGTTAGTGACACGGAGGTTTAGGACAACAACCCTACACATGCATCCAGAACTACAATGGGATAGTTCTTAGAATGGCCCAGTCAATGTTCATGCCTGTATAAAACTGAAAGTATTTGGTAAGACTTGAACGTTCATGTTTACAGATTCTCGCTAACCAAATCTGACTGAGATTGAACTTGTTTTAGAAAGGAGCGTAGGCCACAATTTTAGTCTGTAGATGTATAAAGCTGACCTACCCCACAAGACTTGCAGCTGCAATTACAGCAGAAGAAGGATTTTAAAAAAACGTTGACTGAGTGCTACTGGATTCAAATACAGTCACACCCTTTTCAGTTTTGGATTTGTAAAATAGAATGTGCTTAAAAAAACACACAATACCTTATCTTAATATGTTGTATAAAACACTAAAAAATACATTAAAGTTTGCTGTTGGTAAAGCATAACAGAGTCTATACTTTTCTTCGGTATCTTGGCATTATTCCTTGGAATATCTGGTAGGTTATTATTTTTTTAATGTGCCTTTTTGTTTTTTTTAAATGTGCCTTTTTGTTGTTGTGTAGAAAGACTCAAGGTGGATGCCAAAACAGCTTTCAGTCATTACATGAAAATGTCAGTGTGCTGCTGCAGTAATGTGTGCCTGACATGCAGTCTGCTTCGTTTTTCCTCTTGTACGTCATCCAGTATGTGAGCTCCAAATGAAACTGATGTTGGCAACAAAAGGGCTCAGTGCAGTTCAGGAAAGTGCCTCCAGCTGCAAGGCTGAATTGGTTTGATGGCTTCATTCTAGCAGTTTTACTGTATGGTTGAACTACAAGATTATATGACTTAACGGTTTAGTTAAAACATATTAAAACACCATGAATTAGAAGCATCACTCAGAACACGAATAAGCACCTCTAGAAGAAAAAATGAAGGTTTTGATGTTGTTTTTTTTGAAAGGTTGACAAAATTGCCATCTTACTCTCCACCTAAACCCTGTGAAATTTGTACAAAAACAGGATGTTCTGTTACACACAATCTCTAAGGTTCTCTTGACACCAGGTTGTGGGTGTCTGCAGGACCTCTGACTCATTCCCTGCTGATCACAAAAGAAAACCCCCCAAAAGTAATTGAAATATGAAATCCTCAGGATCCTAACATCATCTTCGTACACACAATCTTGCCCAAGCACTCAGTGTAGCTTCCTGCAGCTCGATGTTTCTTAAACCTCCGCAGGAATTCATCGTTATAGTTTTTCTCAGTCGCTGTGGTGCATTTCTCAGAACAGAATTCAAATTTTCAAAACTCCTTGTTCAATCTTCATATCATTGCCACTTGTGAACATATAAAGGGACAGTTTCATGCCTTTGAGCAGTTTGCAATCGCTTGTGTATATCAAAGCAAGTAATTATCTACAATTCTCTGCTTTTTCTGCGTTTTCAAATGCATTTGGCATGTTTATCAAAGTGTATTATACGAGTCTCTGTTGAATTGTCGGAAACTGCGCAACATGTAAGCATAATTTCATTGTATTAGTCTTAATATTTCATATTTAAGCATAGACCTCTTCCTTTTTTTATTATCTGTCCTGAACTGGTAAATTGCTTCCAGATGAATCCCGAGTTTCTCCAACACAGATAAATATGTGAAACATAACATCAACCAGTTTTCTGAAATGGCATCTCATGAACCGTCAACTGGCAGGTAAGCATATAGTGGGAGAAAAACACAATGCTACATTTCTGACAATGGAAGGACAAAGATTTGGACAAGTACAAGAAGAGTAGGAGGATAAGGAGTTGGAAGAAAGAGGATGAGGACATAATGCCCGTTTCCATTGCTCAAATATCATCAGGATATGATTTTCAGCTGATTGACTTCCTCTCATCCTGCTCCTCATTCCTCAACCCCATGGAGGAGTTTTTCACAGCATGGAGATGGAAAGTAAAGGAAGACTGCGCTGTAATTCCTGCAGCAACGTTTGTAGTTCTCCTTAAGGAAATTGTCCCATGTTCACATGTCTACATTTTCTTCCTTCATGCTCTGCATTGCTGTGTTTTTTCTGCATGTCACAGTGACATGGTCTTTCAGCAAAGCACAGGAAAAGCATAGATGTCCAGACTCTTGCCATTGATCCCCCACTCATGTCATTTACAGTACTTATCAAAACTTTAGCCATAGTTTACAACAGAACATCCCCCCAGAGTAACGCTGTTGTATTGACAACATGACTAAGCAATTTGACTGTCCCATCCGAACACATTGAAACAAGGAGTTGTCATCCTGAGACACAGGCATGTTCATTGAGGCAGATATCTACTTTTGAGAGATTATATAAGAAACTGGATTTTGCATGTAATCAGTGTTGTTTAGCTTTTTGTATGAATTGTTTTGAGAAATGCACCATAGTGACTGATAAACACTGTAGAATAGGAGGTTTCTACTCCGCCATAAGTTTGACTTGAATGCATTGGGGGATAATCAGTGTTTAATTGGAGCTGGTTAACTGGCATTGCATGGATAGTTGTGGGACAGCAATATGTTACTCTGCTCTGCAGATGAGAGAAGAGATGAAGAACATGGGTAACTCTTGTCCATGTCAGTTTATTAAAAGACATTAAACTGTTCAAACAGAAAAATGTAACGGAGCAATTGAGTGGTTTTGAAATTTTTAAAATATGAATCAAAAACCATCAGCGCCTGCCCGAAGATTCGGAGACTCTTACAAAAGAGTCCTTTTTTTTAATTGTGCAAAATGTAATGATGACCTCTGTCTGAGGTTAACAGTAACATATCAGAGAGAGAGGTTGAAGGATGTCAAGCACATAAAAATACACAATTATCTTTACTATTCTGCAAACACATCCTGTGGCAGATCGTCATGGATACATTTTCTATTTTAAAATGTTTTTTCCTTTGCTCTGTTTCTAGACAACTCTTTATATAATACTTAAACCATTCCCTTTTTTAATCCTAAAAAAGTCATCATCCAACCTTTTTTTTTGCAGAGCTTTGTAAGCCTGAAATGCAGATATTAATCTAAATATTTTAAGACACAAAAACCAAATATGTTGAGTTAAATCTGATCAATGTAAGAGCTGCTGCGGTAATACTCGAATTTGAATTCTTCAGCTTTCTTAGTTTGCTTTGTAAAATAAAAAACAGTGAAATAAAAAAAAATTATTATCTGAATTTTTTATGGTTTAGTCACTATTATTAAGCCATTTCACTGTAGATCTTTCTTGTCATTCACATTCTCCATCTTTGCAACAAGGTCAATGCCAGTGACCTTTCTGTATTTCTCTGCTTGTTGCCTGGCAACTGGTGTTGGCCAAGAAAAAGTCTGGTACATAACCCCTGTGTAAACAAGACATAATGTGTTAATTAGAGAGACTGAAGGGTTCCCGGTCGTAAAGATAGTTCAGCCAATCAGCCGCTGACAATCGCTGCATGCTTAGCAAACTGACAAATAAATGGTGTCCATCTCTGTTTTTAAGACACGGAGTCGGAGCAGTCCTGCAAAATAACTTAAATTAAGAAGACCTATAAATATTTTCTATGTTAGACAGTCTTTGTTTTTTTTTTTCTCGGGTATGAAACATCCCCGACTAAATCACATTAATATCCCAGCGTATAAGTCGTATTCCTTCTGTGATATTTGTTGTCATAATGTTAGTCAAAGAGAAGAGAAGCTGAGTCTTGATCGCCTTTAAAAATACTCAAGTATTTGAATGAGGTTCTGGTCCATTTAGGATCAATTTGTATGTTATGAACTTTATTTATGAACTATGTTTATTCAACAACTAATTACTGTATGTAGTGTTTTATGACAAAGTTTAAGATTAAAAAATAGTCAACAAAAGTTAATTAAACAAGCAGCTTATAAAAATCAAAATAAATGTTGGACAACAAAAAAAAAAAAAACTTCAAAGCTACACAAACCCAAACATTCATAACTTTCATCTACGCGACAGTAAATAGTTAAAACCTTTTTAGCAGTTGAAAACAAATAAAAAATATTAATTTCCCCCAAATATTTACTTAAATTCGCCATGATGGATCTGGCGAAATAACCATACCCCCAGAGTGAGCCTTTATGTTTCTAATAAAAAGATAGACTTGTTCTATTTTATACCTTGTACACATTTGTCGACGTGAACAAAATGATTAAAATCAGCCTTGATGGTGAGTTAAGTGAGTTTGGAGAAGACTCTCTGGAAAACATTTATTTTCACATCAGTTTGGAGAAAGAATTAAATATGTTGGAAGGGAAATTAATACTTTCTTTAGACTGTTTTCATATGTCAAAAAGCAGAGGTTTGGATCACAATCCTTTTGATCAAAAGAGTTTAATACTCTAAGGAACGACATAATGCCACCGCAATCTCGCACACTGCACCTGGCGCTTTTTTTCTAAGAGCTTCTTCCCTTTTATCTCCTTCTCCTGTCCCTCTGCATCCGTCTCTTCATCCTCACTCCTCCTCCAACTTCTTCTCCAGTCCCTCTTTTGCAACTTTACGACCACAGCTGACACCGTTATCGCCAACCACAATAACCGCTACAGCATTTTAGCAAAGAATTCATTATTTCTCTTTCTCCTAAAATATCTTCTTCCTTTGCAATAAAGAAGATATTTTTACTACTACCTGATGAGTTTATCGACTTTGACACTTTAAATGGTGCAACATGATAAAAACTGCACCTTCTATCATTCAAATTAAACTAAGAGTTGTAAAAAATCTTTTCTTTTTGTACATAAGAAGAAATTTGGGTTAATCACGTTCCCTCTTACACTGTGCTTGAAGTTTCCTTCATTTTTAGTTTTCAAATTAGCAACCTCGCTTTTATCACAGTAAGGTTAAGTGAGTTGAAATTATATCCCTTTTACACAAAAATGACTTGCCAGTAATATTAGCAATCTGTAGATCTACATGTGCAATCATGTAGAAAATGTCAGCTTTTCTTTAAAAAGCAACTTTTAACATGACACTCTGAAACTTTTTTTATCGCAAATGATTACTGTCTTACTGTTTGTTTGTTTTTTTTTAATTTATCATACAACTAACATGCAACGTAAGCTGATTAATTCTTTATTATTTCTAACCAAGAGGGTTTCTGCTGCTAATAGGATATAAATTTATTCTTTTAACAGAGCCTCTCTTTAAAAATCCTGAGCTTTCCGTTTAATCTCTGATATCCTTGCCTGTGTTTTTTGCAGGTCACTGATCTGGTGTTCCAGTATCTGAAGATGCTGCAGAAACTCGGACCACGGCAAAGGTACTGTCACACTCAGATTCACATACTGACACAAAGTAGCAACAAAAACATCTTCTAAAAACACATTTTTAATTATTTTTTTTCTCGTGCACCTAAAACTGTGTTTTCTGCATTTTGCGACTTAGCGACAGTATTTAATGTGTTTTCCTTTGCTGACTGCTCGTGTGTGTGTGTTTTGTTGCTTTTTGTTTTAACCTGCTTACATGAGGCTCATGTTGTAATGTCTGAGGTTTTCTTTCGGGTGAATAAAAGTTAGAACTTTGATTATTTTTCTCGATGCCTTCAGAATATACGAGGAGATCCAGAGGATAGAAGCAAATGAGTTTCACTACCAGGAACAGGTAAGGATATTGACACAAATAGCTGAGCCTAGAAATATTGTGTTGTATGAGGGGAGGAAAAAAAAAACCCCTGTTTGCTTCCTTCCTTGTCAGATTGACCCCATAGAGAACGTAGAGGACATTTGTGAATGCATGCAGTTGTTCCCGAAGGAGGACTTCCTGACAGGAGATCATCTTATGTTTGAGTACAACCCTGAAGTAAGTAGCTCAGTCGTTGTGGGATTTACTTTCTGAAAGGTAGCATTTCTCTTTTTAGACAAAGGTGTTAATGAAACAGGTCACACAGATGTAAAAAAAAAGTCTGGGTTTTGTACAATAATGAATTTGCAGCTTACATCTTTCTGTATCAGAAACAAGCTGTCGGAGTTGTGCACCTGTCTTGTGTTATGGATGGGAGCTACGATCTAATTCTGGCTCTTCATTTTGTCTGCAGCCTCAGTCACTGTGATATGCAGAATGCTTCTCGCAGTCGCTGCCTTGTAGAAAGGATTCATTCTCCTTCAGATTTTTTTATTTTTTTTTATTTTTTTTTTTACGTTTTGTCAAATTATAGAACCAAACTTCAAAGCGCTTCACTCTATTGTGCAAATAAATCTGAAAAGTGTGACATGCATTTGCATTCAGCTCCACCCCGAGTCGGTACTTTATAGAATCACCTCTCACTGCCATCTCTTCCAGCTTGTAAAAACAGCAATTTTTCAAGTTTTGTTGGTTACCAGTTTGATCTGGGCTTTAACTGGGCCAAATTTACTACACCAAATTGCTTTAATATAAGCCGCTTTTTAGTATCTCTGTCTATAAAGTTTGGATTGTTGGTCTGCTTGAAAGACCCTGGTACCCGATAATCGCCTGTATCTGCTGAACAGAAAGCATCACCGCAGCATGATGCTGCCACTACTGTGTGTTGTGCTGTGAAATGTCGGTTTTTCCAGTCAGATAGAACATTCTGCTTGAATTAACATCAATGCAGTATAGAGCTGATCTGTCGATTATTTTCTTCAATTAAACAATTAATAACTGAAAAGCAAAAGGTGCTTAGTAGAATTTTTTTTTACAAAATTTGACCCACATGAAGCTAACGCTGTCATTTACAAATTTACAAGTTGTTTTTTTATCTTAATTGCAAATGTTTATATCTTTTGTACAGTTTTAGCTTAATTACTGCCCTGAGTGTTCTCTTTCAGCAAGTAGCCTGTGTTTGAGTCTTTATACTCCCATTAACAATTCATTGATTACTAAATTAGTTTGTTTATTTCAATTATCGCTCTATCATGATTAATCCAATTAATCCTCCCAACATATTCTCCCCTGTACTTTTAATCTTTTCTGAGTTACAATAGACTTCTTGGTTGTTGCTTTTCTCCTTTCCTCTAATAAACGTTCATGCCTGACCCGTCAGTGTAGATAGATGTTACCTGACAGTGTTTCAAAGTTCAAGAGGGTATCTAGTACTTCTTTTTTTTTTTTTTTTTTTTGGGAAACCCTGGAAATAAATCGTTCAGGGCGCTGCTGTGACACGTGCTACAAAACTGAGCTTGTTTTCTTTGTGTGTTCAGGTGATCGGTGCAGCTCTTTCTCTGCTAACCCCAGAGAAGGCTAACCTGATGCTGCTGTCACCAGAACACGAAGGCCAGTGTCCCCTCCGGGAGAAGTGGTTTGGCACACAGTACAGTGTGGAGGGTACGTGTGTGTGTGTTGTTTGTTACATTTTAATAGTGAAGCTGAAGGAAACAAACAAAAAAAAAAAACTGTGATGCTACTCGGTGTGACCCGTAGCCCATATAGTGGTGGGAAAAGCCGGTGCGACGAAGTCAGAACATTTTAATTAAAAAGTGTACAGAAGTAGGCGTTAGCGCCTCAGGTTTGCTACTATAAAGCGATTAAATAGATTAGTTTTATGCATTTACGGCGAAGTTTTCTTGGCGCGCTGATGAGTGTGTGAACTTTATGCAGACATTGAGAAGAAGTGGACGGAGCGATGGAGTGGAAACATGGAGCCAAACAGTGACCTCCACCTTCCTGCAGCGAACGAGTTCATCGGTGGGTAAATAAGCGCCTCTAAACCCAACAGAGTGAGAAAGTGCCCAGTTGCGTGCTACATAGCAAAGGGTCAGGAGTAAACAAGATTGTGCGTTTGCTCTTTATTCACCCATCCAGTAAATACAGTCATTACTGCTGTTTGTCAGGAGGCTTTTTCATGTGTGACTCAATTGTTAGAAGAGTTGGAATTCAAGCTAAAAGTCGTGAGCTCCCAAAGCAGAACAATTGATCTTTGTAGCTTTTCGGTGGACGCAGTGAGCTCGTTTATTTCGCTTTACTTTTTTTTCTTTTCTTTTTTTTTGGAGCTCTTTGCTGTGAAGTTGTTTGATTGTTCTGTGTTTGAATGGTGGATTGATGTGAGTTTCGGCTGTCCTTTGTTAAAAGACAGAGGAAGGTAAAAATTTGCTCTGTTGTTAGATGTGATTGGACTTATCGCCCTGAATGTCTGAATGATTTTTAGGTCCAGACCCCTGTAGAGGAGAAGAAACTTTCAAGGACCCAAACTTAGCAAATTCTGGGGAAAATGGGGTGGAGAAAATCTGCATTTTTTTTTTTTTTTTTTTTTTTTTTTTTTTTTTTTACATTTTCTTAACTTTGTTTTGTTTTCTTTTTATTTAGGTGTTTCACACCTGTAAAAATCAGTCTCCCAAAACAACCTGGAAGCAAACATTTCCCAAATTAACTTTGCAGAGTTGTTTAATTCAGTAATTTCTCTGATTTGGAACAGATCCCCCCCCCCTCCTCTTATCTTCTATGATAGAATTAGCATGAAATAAAAGAATTTAGTGGGACTTCCAATGGGTGAAATTGGGGCAAAAACTTTTTCTCTGCACTGTGCATCACATTTTCTTAACTCTGACACACCGAATGCATAACCACGCTAAGGATCTCATACAGAGACGGGCCTATTGAGAGTCACTTTCAACAAAAGTTTCAATCTCGAGACCCAGGTGGTGCCAGTTTACGCTGCGTTAGTCAAAGATTTCCAGCAGCTCCCTTTGGGGCCAGAGGGACTTTATTGCATTTGAAAATTTGCACCGCATGCCGTCACCACTCTTTGACAGGTAAGAGTGGTACTTTACCTCCTTTGACTCGACATGAAAGCTGCTGGTGGTGAAGCTCACCTGATTTTTACCCTCGGCGTGTGATAATAAAAGCAGCAAGCCTAAAATTGACTGATAAAACACACACACAAAGGTTTTTCACACATTCGCTTAATTTTTGAGAGACTGCACTGACCGAGCCGAGGACGAGATGTCAACGTGATTTATTTTATTTACCAAAACATGAGGATCTCTCTCTCTGCAGCCTGCTTCTAATACCGGGGCGAAATTTCAGTCACTGGAGGGGAACTTGTTTTTCCTCATTTTGCTCAACTCGTGACCCGACTTGTTTCACCTTACTCACGATTTGAGTTGGTTCTGAGTGGGAAGGTGGACGAACTTTCTGCTGTGTGCCTTTGTTTAGCCACCGACTTCACCCTGAAGCCCTCTGACTGCCCGGACACAGACTTCCCCGTCCGGATAGCCGCCAGCGACGAGGGCTGCCTCTGGTACAAGAAGGACAACAAATTCAAAATCCCCAAAGGTGTGTGCAAACCTGCACTGTTTCTCTTTGTGGCATCGCGCGAGATGCTTCCATAGATTCATTTAATATCGGCAGAAACGTGTTGAGACTTGTTTACCCTCTCTCCTCCTGCAGCCTACATAATATTCCACCTAATCTCCCCCATAATACAACAGTCCGCGAAGAAGTAAGTTCAAGCTCAGATATGAGTTTGGAACGGTAACGTCTGAGTCCTGCTTTAACCTACTTTATCACCTGTCGGCCTCTAGTTACTCTTAATACTTACTTTAACCCCTCCACAGATTCAGTTTTGTTTATCCTCCTGGCCTTTTCCTTGCTAAAGCTGTTTGCTTTGTTCTTACCTTTGCTTCATACTTATCTTTTTTTTCTTTCTTGTTCTGATTTTTTTTCCACCTTTTGATGTTTTTTTTTTTTTTAATTTTCTACCTTTCTTCATCCTGTCGACCTCCAGCATAGTCTTGTTTGATTTGATGGTCAACATCCTGGGCCACAACTTGGCCAAGCCGGCCTACGAGGCTGAAGTGGCGCAGCTGGATCACAAGCTGGTGGCGGGCGAGCACGGCCTGATATTCAAAGTGAAGGGATTCAACCACAAGCTGCCTGTGAGTGAACTCGTCCATCAGTACATGGCACAAACCTCAATGTACTTTTAAGATGAAGGTAAAAAAAAAAGAAAGAAATATGATAAGTGCCTTTTTGTTCAGCTCCCCTGAGGCGGCGCAGAAACATTTTTAACTCTGTTGCAGCATAACTATCAGCTTTGCACATTTAGAGCCTGAAATTACTTTAGGATGAAGCACTAACGTTCACAGATTGGTTGAACCCCATCGATAAACAGCTGTTTTTAAGTTTAGCTCCAGATTTCCAGTTTCACTCAATTTTTGACTTTGACTAGGCCTTTCTAAAACCAGAACTCACATTCTTTTAAGATATTTTTTTTGCCTCTGCCAGGCTCTGTCCTTCTTCCCAAAAGTTCCCATTAACTCCCCTGTCCCTGCTGAAGAATAACATCCCCACAGCATCATGCTGCCACCACCAAAAAGTTTAATTTGGATCTCATAGGACTGAAGCATTTTATTCCACACGTTTCCACAGAACTCTTGAAATGTTTTTCTTCTTGAAACCCTTCAGTGTATCACCTCAATAGATACTTCCACCTGAGCTGTGGATCCTGGCAGCTCCTCCACAGCTACCTCAGGCCTCTTTCCTGAATCACTAATTAATGGATTCCCTTTAAGTTTGGGTCACCATTTACTAATAATCAAGTGACCCCTGCAGGCTGATTGTTGCACTGGACTTTATTTAGAAGCATCAGCGTAAAGGGGGCTGAATAGTAATGCTTGTCACATGTTTCAGATTTGTATTTGTAAAACTTAAAAAAAAAAAAAAAAAAAAAGGTATTTTTTTTTCAAATACGTGTTGCTTTGTGTTGGTGTTTTACTTGAAATTAGCTGTGGGTGATTTGGATTTAAAGTTTTATCGTGATATTTTGTGGTACAATTGTGATCACAATAAAAGTGACGACACAAACTGTTTGACTTTTTTAGGTAACTGTTTGACTGTGACTGTATGACTCGGTAATAATCCCCAAAAACTGCTCTTGAAGCACATTCTGATTAGTAATGTGCTTCTTTAGGATGCCAGTCACATAAAAAAGTGTGATTTGTATCAATAACATGCACACAGTAACTGCATTTAACAATGTTTCCAATTATTGATCCTCTCATTGAACAAATAATGAAAAATTTTTTACAAATAATGAAAAAATTGAACAAATAATGGAAAAAATTGTAATCCCGACAATATAGACATTTTTCTAAAATGTTAATTGGAATTTATCACAACAATAAATGAAATCCTTATCATAATAAGAAATGTATCACGATAAACAATATGATAAATGCTCACCCCCAGTTAAGTT